CAGAGGACTTCATGCGATTCCAAATAACAGATATCTGAGATTCCAGCGCTGGCAGGCAGAAAGATGCCTTTCTAAGGGGCGCGCGTCAAAGGGCCCGGCGGATGGGGCAGGACGCGGCCTCCCGGTTTCGTTCAGTGCCTCGGAGCAGCCCCAAGGCACGCCCCGTGACGGGTCAAGGGCAGGGTCGGGGATGCTGAGCCCCCCCACAAAGGGAGCCAAACCCACCCCGCTGCTTCACACAGCTGGGAACCTTTCAGCACGTCCACTTGCCGGTCAGTTTTACTGCAAAAACACAGCGGTGATAATCGCTTAGAAAGGAGCAAAGTCCAGGTCAAGCGTCTGTTCCGACTGTTTAAGCTTGGAAGAACAAATTGCATCCGAAATCAGAATTCCAGGGAACCCGTGGGGCGCTAGAGCCAGACGCGTCTGTCTAAGTGCTGATTTTTTCTCCTTCCTTTCCTGTGCCAAAGTTTGCCCCGGGGCCAAACATTGTGCCCTTCCAAGAGAGGTTCGTCAGTTATACCAACACCAGCAGACCGTTGGGTTATTTATTCATTTATCAGCTTTCGTGGCTCACATTCCTCTCCGTGAGCTACGCAGAGAACGGTTTTGAGGCAGGCAGGTTCGACAGGCCGCGTGCACGCAACACACTGCACCGGGGGAGTGGCGGACCTAGCCATTACGTGCTCGCAAGCAAGATTTTAAACCTGACTCCTGCTAGTTGGGCTTAGCTTCGGTCGCCAGGTGACATGCCCTGCACCAGAACAGCCACGCTAAAAGAGGTGGAAGGGGAGGGAGGTGGGAAGGAGGGTCGGTGGCCCCCCACCAAAGGGCCTTTGGGTGTCCCGGGTTGGGGTTTTTCTGCTGCTCTGGTAGCATTCTGTGAAAACAGGCCTGTTTTCTGCCCTCCTGCAGCACCAGGCTGAGATTGAGGCACTCTGGGAGCCCTGCAGAATTGGACCCCCGTTGAGAAACGGGGAGACTGGTGCTGCCCTCTCCTTGGAGAGGCTCCTTTAGAGGCTGGTGCTGCCCTCTCCTTGGCACATGCTTGGGAACCCCAGGGAAGCAGAAAGAGGCAGGAGCAGTGACTCAAAGTAAGTCCCACTTAAGCTTTGTTGATCCCACTTCCACACTTGGTGGACCAGAAGGGACCCCGTTGGCTTTGGGGTGGCTTCCGCTCTGGATGATTTCCCCCCACCATTGTTATTTGGGGTGGGGAGGGGAGGAACGAAGCTCTCTCCGCCCCTCGAAGACC